GAACTTGGTATCTCTTGACAGCAAAACTCACCATAGCATTCAGGAACACTTAAAGGTGAGAGAGGAAAAGGGAATCGAGAGATAAAGTTGGGGAGGATTGAATGAGGATGTCAGAAAGAGAAAGTGAGAGTTCAAGACAGAAAGAAGGATGGAGAACGGAGAGAGAGAGAGAGAGAGAGAGAGAGAGAGAGAGAGAGAGAGAGAGAGAGAGAGAGAGAGAGAGAGAGAGAGAGAGAGAGAGAGAGAGAGGGGAGGGAGAGGGGAGGTACAATGGACGAGGGATGAAGAAAGAAAGAGAGGGTTAGAGAAGAAATGAATGAATATTGGAAGAAACGACGGAATGAGAAAGTGAACATTACGGAGCTACTTCCTCTTAAACACCCATTCTGTCCGTTTTAATTACCATTTGTATTTAACATTGTAATGAAACTACTCAAGGTTACCAATGAACAAAATGTAAAACATGAAAGCCTATGACTAGCCCCCACCGGCCGCATTCATCACCTGGACTTTGCAACACGAGCTAAAATGCTACATTACTGTTGTTGTTAATCAACTTGGCAACTTGGCAAATTTCCCGGACTGGATGGATCTGTTCAAAATTAAAGAGCTTTTCAGGATTTTGTCGCAATACTTATTTTTTTTAGTGGGCATTGTGCCCTCGTTGCTTTGGCTGTGTGTTTGTTTTTGTCCTCGTGGCTGTTCTTGTCCTCGTGGCTGTTCTTGTCCTCGTGCCTGTTCTTGTCCTCGTGGCTGTTCTTGTCCTCGTGGCTGTTTTTGTCCTCGTGCCTGTTCTTGTCCTCGTGGCTGTTTTTGTCCTCGTGCCTGTTCTTGTCCTCGTGGCTGTTTTTGTCCTCGTGGCTGTTCTTGTCCTCGTGGCTGTTTTTGTCCTCGTGCCTGTTCTTGTCCTCGTGGCTGTTTTTGTCCTCGTGCCTGTTCTTGTCCTCGTGGCTGTTTTTGTCCTCGTGGCTGTTCTTGTCCTCGTGGCTGTTCTTGTCCTCGTGGCTGTTTTTGTCCTCGTGGCTGTTCTTGTCCTCGTGGCTGTTCTTGTCCTCGTGGCTGTTTTTGTCCTCGTGGCTGTTCTTGTCCTCGTGGCTGTTCTTGTCCTCGTGCCTGTTCTTGTCCTCGTGGCTGTTCTTGTCCTCGTGGCTGTTTTTGTCCTCGTGCCTGTTCTTGTCCTCGTGGCTGTTTTTGTCCTCGTGCCTGTTCTTGTCCTCGTGGCTGTTTTTGTCCTCGTGGCTGTTCTTGTCCTCGTGGCTGTTTTTGTCCTCGTGCCTGTTCTTGTCCTCGTGGCTGTTTTTGTCCTCGTGCCTGTTCTTGTCCTCGTGGCTGTTTTTGTCCTCGTGCCTGTTCTTGTCCTCGTGCCTGTTCTTGTCCTCGTGGCTGTTCTTGTCCTCGTGCCTGTTTTGGTTTGGTTAGGTTTAGTTAGATTACGTCAGGTTTGGTTACCTTTGGTTAGGTTTGGCTATTCTAGATTTGGTTAAGTTTTGGTTACGTTGTGGTTAGGTTTGGCTGGGTTAAGGTTAGGTTTGGTTACGTTTGCTTGAGCGCTGCTGGCTGACATTTTCTTCATCATTCTATCCAATTTCTGTATCCAACACGGCAACGGATGTCGTATTCGCATCTTAAGAAAACCGACGCGGTAGGCGTACAGTCTGAATTGCATACAGCTGCGACGTCGCATATATACGACTTCGTAACTCTGCGCGTCTTTCATGCCTGCTATGGATACATCATTTTTCTTGTTGTGACCGCTGTATCAGGAGGTCGTTATATCCATAGTGGTAGTAGTGGGCATCCATCAGTCTCAGGAGACTATGGAGTCGCGCTCTGGTGGTCAGTCTGGAGTGGCCTCTCCAGGGCGCATAGCCTGGGTAGGTTGATACGGGGGAGAAGCTGTCACCCATGCAGCAGGTCCCCCTACTCCGTAATACTGCATATTATTAGTGAAGACGGCGCCTGCAGCGCCAGTTAGTTGGGAAAGCTAAGCTGATGATGAGAAGATGTCGAGGCAGCTTAATGGGATCGAACTCTTAATGGGATCGAACCCCGGACACGAGAAATGTGGCATTTCTCGTTAACATAAAGCATGTGTAATCTTATATATGATAAGTTGCATAATAATTATCAAACACCTGACGCGACATATGCAACCTATTCTCCTGTTTATATAGTACATTTTGTAACTATCTGGACCATTGTACATATTGACGTAATAGACTATTAGATATTTGGTACTAAATTTGGTACTATTCACTTTATCTTGGCCCGAAAAAAAAGCTAAAACCCAAACTTAAATATTCCTATGCATATATATATATATATATATATATATATATATATATATATATATATATATTATTATATATGTCTTGCCTATATACTGGGTTTTTTTGGAGCTTACAGTCCCCAAGTGGGCATTTGAAGGCATAGACGACGTTAGTCTCTTTTAAAGCGTTCTGTTTCGTGTCTGGAGAGTTTCTCATGAGTAGGCTGGCCGTTTTTCTGGTTTTATAGTAAATCGTCAGTTGTATCCTCTGATTTTTGTCTGTAGGGATAACGTTTCTATTAACAATATCTTTCAGGACCCTTTCCTCTGTTTTATGAGCTGTGGAAAAGAAGTTCCTGTAAAATAGTCTAATAGGGGGTATAGGTGTTGTGTTAGTTGTCTCTTCGGAGGTTGCATGGCTTTTCACTTTCCTTCTTATGATGTCTTCGATGAAACCATTGGAGAAGCCGTTATTGACTAGAACCTGCCTTACCCTACAGAGTTCTTCGTCGACTTGCTTCCATTCTGAGCTGTGGCTGAGAGCACGGTCGACGTATGCGTTAACAACACTCCTCTTGTACCTGTCAGGGCAGTCGCTGTTGGCATTTAGGCACATTTTACAGGAACTTCTTTTCCACAGCTCATAAAACAGAGGAAAGGGTCCTGAAAGATATTGTTAATAGAAACGTTATCCCTACAGACAAAAATCAGAGGATACAACTGACGATTTACTATAAAACCAGAAAAACGGCCAGCCTACTCATGAGAAACTCTCCAGACACGAAACAGAACGCTTTAAAAGAGACTAACGTCGTCTATGCCTTCAAATGCCCACTTGGGGACTGTAAGCTCCAAAAAACCCAGTATATAGGCAAGACAACAACATCTCTTTCTAGGCGTTTAACGATGCATAAACAACAGGGCTCCATTAAGGAACATATAATCTCTTCCCATAACCAAACCATCGCCAGAGAAATCCTAGTAAACAACACAGAAATCATCGATAGATACAGCGATAGCAGGCGGCTTGACGTTTGCGAGGCACTACACATCAAGAAGTCAACACCAGCAATCAACAGCCAATTATTGCACAACTATATTCTATATATATATATATATATATATATATATATATAATATAGTGTGTATAGGCTTTAGCGTATATTAGGCCTAGGATGGTTAAGTTAGGATTAACAACCTAAATACAAAACCTTTTACAGTTTGTCCAAATTCAATAGTACCAAAGTCAACATTGTGATAGTTTATCAGGTCAAAATATGTAGGAGGGTCCACAGCGTTACTATAAGTACTATCTAAGCAGGAGGACGGGGTGGGGTCAGTGAGTCTAGGAACCATGCAACGAAAACCAACCTTTATCCTTCAATAGTACTCAGATGTGTCGAGCGTCACAACACAGCTGGGTTGGTGGGGCTTACCAGGCTTGGTGGGGCTTACCAGGCTTGGTGGGGCTTACCAGGCTTGGTGGGGCTTACCAGGCTTGGTGGGGCTTACCAGGCTTGGTGGGGCTTACCAGGCTTGGTGGGGCTTACCAGGCTTGGTGGGGCTTACCAGGCTTGGTGGGGCTTACCAGGCTTGGTGGGGCTTACCAGGCTTGGTGGGGCTTACCAGGCTTGGTGGGGCTTACCAGGCTTGGTGGGGCTTACCAGGCTTGGTGGGGCTTACCAGGCTTGGTGGGGCTTACCAGGCTTGGTGGGGCTTACCAGGCTTGGTGGGGCTTACCAGGCTTGGTGGGGCTTACCAGGCTTGGTGGGGCTTACCAGGCTTGGTGGGGCTTACCAGGCTTGGTGGGGCTTACCAGGCTTGGTGGGGCTTACCAGGCTTGGTGGGGCTTACCAGGCTTGGTGGGGCTTACCAGGCTTGGTGGGGCTTACCAGGCTTGGTGGGGCTTACCAGGCTTGGTGGGGCTTACCAGGCTTGGTGGGGCTTACCAGGCTTGGTGGGGCTTACCAGGCTTGGTGGGGCTTACCAGGCTTGGTGGGGCTTACCAGGCTTGGTGGGGCTTACCAGGCTTGGTGGGGCTTACCAGGCTTGGTGTGGCTTACCAGGCTTGGTGGGGCTTACCAGGCTTGGTGGGGCTTACCAGGCTTGGTGGGGCTTACCAGGCTTGGTGGGGATTACCAGGCTTGGTGGGGCTTACCAGGCTTGGTGGGGCTTACCAGGCTTGGTGGGGCTTACCAGGCTTGGTGGGGCTTACCAGGCTTGGTGGGGCGTACCAGGCTTGGTGGGGCTTACCAGACTTGGTGGGGCTTCGCCTACGTTTACTGGGATTCTGCTGGGTTAGTTTGGACTCACCAGGGTCCGCTTGGCTTCGCCTGGGTTCACTGCGACTCACCAAGATGGGTAGGGGGGCAGGTAGCTCTCTTGAGGCAACAAAGCCCTTCTGTGTTAACCTTAGAATACTTTGGACTGCCTGGACTACCTGCCATCTTTAAAGATAATTTGTGTTCCTTCGTCTTGAGAAGAACCAATGTTCCCGCCCTCCTGTTGGTCTCCTGGTGCGCGCTCTCGCCCAAATGTGCCACTGTGATGGGTCGCATTTCTCACTACAACATTACATTATTTACCTTCATGTACCTACAGCAAGTAAATACTTTACAGTATTATGTTCTCCAATTAAGAAAATGTCGGTTGGCTATGTTAGAACTAGAGCTTAGTTGGTCTCACACTCCCACACCTGTTGCCCGGATATAGCGGTAAAGAACAAAGGTGTAGCGAGTGTTGGGGAAATGATAAACAAATTCTGATCCGTTTCTATAAAAATCAATTAATCTAAAATAGTGCTCAGAAAGGATTCGAGTGAGACCTTTGGGTCTTGGAATGTATATCAGGACTTGTTGAGGCAGTGGGGGATGCTGGCGGGTGCCTGGAGATCTTGTGCCCGTCTCAGCTTCTCCATGTTCTCCAGCAGGAGGGTGTTGGAGGGCTCCTGCCCGTGCGCCGTCAGGTAGTGTCTCCAGGCGCGGGTGTAGTCGCCCTGGCGGGGGAAGAGAGAGAGGAGCAGCATTAGGATTTACGCTTGGAAAAGCTAATGATTTTTGTTTTCCCTGTTTCTTATAAGTGATGGTAGAGACGATGCCTACAACCTCACTGTGCGACGGAGGAGACTAGTGAAGATAAGGAGCTCTTTATTGGTCTAGGAACCACAAACACGAGAATGATCTAGCCAGGTGCAGTGTAAGTAGTATTTACTAGATACACAAATGCTTAGTGTCTGGTTATTTAATAGTTGTAAGACTGATAATAATTTGATATCTTCATAATATTTATACTTTCTCTAATGCTTCTCAAGACGTACATAATTTACTCTCTTACAGCCGGTCCAAAATTTTTAGTTGAAATATAGATTCTTGACTGGAGCGTTGCCCAATAGCTTTGGAATTGATTAAATAGGGCGAGCCGTGACTAGTGTGTGGTAGTGATGGATGGGAGTGGCCTGGGGAGCCAGGCATCACTCTGGGTGCCTCAGTGGCTGAGAGCGTAAGGTGTTCCCCTTGGCGCCTTAACCCCAGCGCAGGTGAATGTAAAGAACCCACAGTACAGTAAATGAACTCTTGAGAGAACCTTGAAGGTTCATCAGTTCGGCCATAAGTCATCATATCACAAACGACTCCTTATACGGTGGCATAAAAGTAATAATCTGGGGAGTTGGTTTTAATGTGGCATAGCATTACTTTGAGTCACGTTCAACGAACAGTATCTATACCACACCTTACTGCCAATATGGAGATATAAACAGTGTTAAGGGAGCCAGTGGTGGGAAGAAAGTTAGACATGAACATTATTACGAGTTGAAGAGGGAAGTGGAACAGACCTTAGCGTGGTAGAGGGCCCCCAGGTTGATGTGCGGGTGGGTGAGCGTCGGTTCCAACTCCACTGCTAGCAGGTAACTCTGCCAGAACATAATATAGTGTACATGTACCCTGGTGTAGTATTTCCTCTTGCAGTATGTGTCACTTCTTGACGTATTTCATTATTAACTTATTATTACCGTCGGATACCTTTATACAATTTTGGTAACTGTGAGAAACTGCTGCAGAGTCCTAATAATGTTCACGGTATGAAAGATCTTACCTGGGCGGCCTCATCTACATTATGTCTGTCGTTGAGGAGGTCTCCATAGTGGGCGTGGAGACGGGCGCAGAGGTAGGGCGGCCTCGAGCAGTTGTGGGCGGCTTGTTGGGCGAGAGTGAAAGCGTCTTGGGTGCGGTTGGTGTGGGTGTAGAGGAGGGAGAGGTGGAAGAGCGCCTCCTGGTGGCCGGGGGACTGGTCGAGCACCTTCTGCAGCAGCTCTTCGCTCTCCAGGTAGCTCCTCTGCTGAAGCTTCACCCGCGCCTGCGTCAGGAGAGAGGAGGTAGCGAGAATCAGGGGTCAGATTCACGAAGCAGTTACGCAAGCACTTACGAACCTGTACATCTTTTCTCAATCTTTGGAGGTTTTGTTTATAATTATTAAACAGTTAATGAGCTCCGAAGCACCAGGAGGCTGTTTATAACAATAACAACAGTTGATTGGGAAGTTTTCATGCTTGTAAACTGTTTATTAAATGTAACCAAAGATGTCAAAGATTGAGGAAAGATGTACACGTTCGTAAGTACTTGCGTAACTGCTTCGTGAATCTGGCCCCAGGATGACAAGCACTGGTCGCCATGCACCACCAAGGGGCTCACATCTACGTATAATCCGTCGGTAACTTTAGTTTAAAGTTTACGCGCCAGTATCCGCCTCTATGTTTTATTGTGTAACAACGCAAGACATTTATTTTGTCGGGAAACAGACTCGGGGCCATAAAAGTTTGATGAGATTGACAGGTATGACGGCGAGTCAGGCCAAACGTGACCTCCTGTCAAGGCCATACGTGACCTCCTGTCAAGGCCAAACGTGACCTCCTGTCAAGGCCACACGTGACCTGTCAAGGCCACACGTGACCTGTCAAGGCCACACGTGACCTCCTGTCAAGGCCACACGTGACCTCCTGTCAAGGCCACACGTAACCTGAAGGCCACACGTGTCCTGTCAAGGCCACACGTGACCTCCTGTCAAGGCCACACGTGACCTCCTGTCAAGGCCACACGTGACCTCCTGTCAAGGCCACACGTGACCTGTCAAGGCCACACGTGACCTGTCAAGGCCACACGTGACCTCCTGTCAAGGCCACACGTGACCTCCTGTCAAGGCCACACGTGACCTCCTGTCAAGGCCACACGTGACCTGTCAAGGCCACACGTAGCTTTCTGTCATAACTCACAAGCGGAGATGACAGAATTCTGTCTCTGACTGAAGAAAAAGACTTCGCGTAATATGACATATTTGTGTGACACAATGTTTGATTAAATAGATGTGCTCACCTAGATGTGCTCACATTGCTGTGCTCACATGGATGTGCTCACCTAGATGGGCTCACCTAGATGTGCTCACCTAGATGTGCTCACCTAGATGTGCTCACCTAGATGTGCTCACCTAGATGTGCTCACCTAGATGTGCTCACATTGCTGTGCTCACATGGATGTGAACATATCAAGATGAACACAATCCTAACCCTCGTCCATTGAACATTGTTTTAGTTCAGTGCTTTGATTCAGTTGCACACGTATCCGTAGGTAATTGAGTTAAATAAATACCGAACTTTGTGGTTAAATACAGGTGGGTACAAGACCATGGCAGAGTGCCATGATGGGAGTGACTGGCGTGGCTGGGAGCCAATAGGAAGGCATGTAGGCACCTGTTCCTATATACTCGGGAAGCGCCTGATTTCACAATTCACAATCCGTGCGCGTTACCCGAGGTGGTCCGTGTTTACACAACATTTGCAAGATTTACAACCAATATTAAGCAAACATTTAAGGTTTCTTTTGAAAATCTATATTTTGGGAAGTTTAAATATTATATGTTATTAGAGCTTGAAATACGATAGAGAAGTGTTCAGATTATTAACAAGAAAAACAAATTGAAGACCAGCCAGTTACGAGCTTAAAAAAAGCATTATTAATTATTAAACTTGCATTTTTTTTATTATTATTTTCTACCACAGACGTGGCCACACATTTACAATGCTAACCAACATATATACATTTTCTTCTGTCCTCCATGGACAGGGTTAGAGATGTGTTAAACATATAGTTCAAGGGTTTATTGAACACTCAACCACAGAAGGTGATTCAGTGCTTTAAAAATGCTAAGCTAACCTACATACGTAAATACATAGATACACAGATTTACGTATGCCCTACATAAAGTGTTTGATGTGTCTTTTACATAGTGTCATTAATGTACATTCACAAAGGTGAAATGTAATTCTGATCAGCTTCCATATATACTTTATACCCATACATATACTTACACACACATATACATACATATATACACACACACATATACATACATATATACACACACACATGCATTCACATACATTTGTCTCATTTACTCTGACAGGGTGAGATAGCTGACAGAGAGACTAGTGTGCAATTAAGCACTTAATCACTGAAGGTGTTTTTACAAGCTCAGGTTATATAGTTACATCATATATATACATTGTATAATTGATATTTTACATGGTCAATCTTGGATACAAGTCCAATATATCATCAAGTGTTCCAGTACTCATATAGTAATTACAGAGTTCAGCATACCTTAGCCCAGGAGGGCGAAAGTCAGTCAGTATGGGACATTCTACAATATAATGTTCAAGAGAGTGCATGTTTTCTCTTTCACAAAGTTGACACATTGTGTACTCGACATTTGGGTTTTGAGAAAGCTGCCAGATACGTCTATATCCCAGGCGTATTCTGGCCACTATAACATCACATTGCCGGGTTCTTGTTCTATTAGTCCCATATGTGAATGTCTCCTCACGATATCTATCATAATATTTAATGCTACAACATTCAGGTCTTTGTGAATTTGTTAGGTCGGTGAGATCTTCATTAGATATTTGTTTAAGTATTCTCTTTGTCACTGCTAATGAAACACCCATATTAATTTCTACCACTGGTTTTCTGCAGGCTGACTTTGCAAGCATATCAACAGTGTCATGCCTTGAGATGCCAACATGTGATGGTATCCATAGGAATTTAATCTCAAATCTGTTTTCTTTAGCAGCTAAAACATTCATTCGAATATCACTGACTATTTTCTGGGTGTCACTACTATGTGCGTTCAATGCCAGGAGTGCACTCTGCGAGTCACAGTATATAAGTCCACTGCCTTTGTCTTTTAAAAATTCAGTGGCAAGGTATATGCCTGCAAGTTCGGTTTGAGTTGTACTTGCCTAGTCATTGACGCGCTTCATTGCTGTATGTACGAGAAAAGATTGTTCAAATATGTTACATGCACATCCGGTACATCGTCCACCTTCTTCTACAGAGCCGTCGGTATAGCACTGATACACATCGTTACCCATACTCTGAGTACTTTCAGTGATGCTTTTCAGTGTTAACTGTTTTAATAATGTAGTGTGCACACTATCTTTCTTGGGCGCATTTACAAAATCAACTGATAGATCCCAGTTATCCCATGGAGTAATTGGCTGATTAATCATTAGTTGAGTTGAGTACATATTTAATATTTTGATGGAGTTGGCTACCTTGTAGAACCAATATACATAATCAGATTTCGTTCTTCTTCTATAGACCTCAGGTGAGTGCAGCATATTAGAAAGTTTAGCTTGAAACTTCATGTGTTGTCTAAATCTACTCAATGCCTTCACGCCGAAAACTGTGCTAATAGAGAAAATTCTCACTTATGGTAGGTAATTTTAACTCTGCTCTCATATTAACTATTCTCGTGGACTTTGGAGCCCCAAGGATGAGACGCATAGCTTCATTTTGCAAGGTTTCAAGAGATTTCAGCTCTTTGTCAGTATACAGTGTGAGATGTAGAGCATTGTTGTCAATCACAGAGTGTATAAATGATACGTAAACGTGATACGTGATACGTTACATAAATGTAAACTTGCATTGAATGCATTCATAGCCTCTCGGTATTGAGTCTTCTTCGGAGAAAAACGCGAACTAATTTTTGTTTAAAAAGGTTAATACCGTATTTGCTGGCGGATACGACGCACGTTTTTCAACCATCTGACGAATATATTTAATTTACATGATTGTATTTACGACGAATATATATATATATATTGTATTTACATGATAAAAAAATCACATATTCCCTCCAGCCAAACTCTCCACCTGAACATCACTTTTTAATAAATATATAAAACCTACTACATTTTATTTTCCATGGAACATTCTTGCAAAATGAGTTCATCTTACGCGCCGGCAGCCACAATTCAGGGGTGATGGTGGAGAAGGTCAGAGGTGGTTCTTTACGCTCGCAGTGGGATCACACTCGCGGCGGGCTGACACTCGCGGTGGGCTGACGCTCGCGGCGGGCTGACACTCGCGGTGGGCTGACGCTCGCGGTGGGCTGATGTTCGCGGCGGGCTGACGCTCGCGGTGGGCTGATGTTCGCGGCGGGCTGATGTTAGCGGCGGGCTGACGCTCGCGGTGGGCTGATGTTAGCGGCGGGCTGATGTTCGCGGTGGGCTGATGTTAGCGGCGGGCTGACGCTCGCGGTGGGCTGATGTTCGCGGCGGGCTGATGTTCGCGGCGGGCTGATGTTAGCGGCGGGCTGATGTTCGCGGTGGGCTGATGTTCGCGGCGGGCTGATGTTCGCGGCGGGCTGATGTTAGCGGCGGGCTGACGCTCGCGGTGGGCTGATGTTCGCGGCGGGCTGATGTTCGCGGCGGGCTGATGTTAGCGGCGGGCTGATGTTCGCGGTGGGCTGATGTTAGCGGCGGGCTGATGTTCGCGGTGGGCTGATGTTCGCGGCGGGCTGATGTTAGCGGCGGGCTGACGCTCGCGGTGGGCTGATGTTCGCGGCGGGCTGATGTTCGCGGCGGGCTGATGTTAGCGGCGGGCTGATGTTCGCGGCGGGCTGATGTTCGCGGCGGGCTGATGTTAGCGGCGGGCTGATGTTCGCGGCGGGCTGATGTTAGCGGCGGGCTGATGTTAGCGGCGGGCTGATGTTAGCGGCGGGCTGATGTTAGCGGCGGGCTGACGCTTGCGGCGGGCTGATGTTCGCGGCGGGCTGATGTTCGCGGCGGGCTGATGTTCGCGGCGGGCTGATGTTCGCGGCGGGCTGATGTTCGCGGCGGGCTGATGTTCGCGGCGGGCTGATGTTAGCGGCGGGCTGATGTTAGCGGCGGGCTGATGTTCGCGGCGGGCTGATGTTCGCGGCGGGCTGATGTTCGCGGCGGGCTGATGTTAGCGGCGGGCTGATGTTCGCGGCGGGCTGATGTTCGCGGCGGGCTGATGTTAGCGGCGGGCTGATGTTCGCGGCGGGCTGATGTTAGCGGCGGGCTGATGTTCGCGGCGGGCTGATGTTCGCGGCGGGCTGATGTTCGCGGCGGGCTGATGTTCGCGGCGGGCTGATGTTCGCGGCGGGCTGATGTTCGCGGCGGGCTGATGTTCGCGGCGGGCTGATGTTCGCGGCGGGCTGATGTTAGCGGCGGGCTGATGTTCGCGGCGGGCTGATGTTCGCGGCGGGCTGATGTTAGCGGCGGGCTGATGTTCGCGGCGGGCTGATGTTAGCGGCGGGCTGATGTTAGCGGCGGGCTGATGTTAGCGGCGGGCTGATGTTCGCGGCGGGCTGATGTTAGCGGCGGGCTGATGTTAGCGGCGGGCTGATGTTCGCGGCGGGCTGATGTTCGCGGCGGGCTGATGTTCGCGGCGGGCTGATGTTAGCGGCGGGCTGATGTTAGCGGCGGGCTGATGTTAGCGGCGGGCTGATGTTCGCGGCGGGCTGATGTTAGCGGCGGGCTGATGTTAGCGGCGGGCTGATGTTCGCGGCGGGCTGATGTTCGCGGCGGGCTGATGTTCGCGGCGGGCTGATGTTAGCGGCGGGCTGATGTTAGCGGCGGGCTGATGTTAGCGGCGGGCTGATGTTAGCGGCGGGCTGATGTTAGCGGCGGGCTGATGTTAGCGGCGGGCTGATGTTAGCGGCGGGCTGATGTTCGCGGCGGGCTGATGTTCGCGGCGGGCTGATGTTAGCGGCGGGCTGATGTTAGCGGCGGGCTGATGTTCGCGGCGGGCTGATGTTCGCGGCGGGCTGATGTTAGCGGCGGGCTGATGTTAGCGGCGGGCTGATGTTCGCGGTGGGCTGATGTTCGCGGCGGGCTGATGTTAGCGGCGGGCTGACGCTCGCAAGGGGCTGATGTTCGCGGTGGGCTGACGCTCGCGGTGGGCTGATGTTCGCGGCGGGCTGATGTTCGCGGCGGGCTCACGCTCGCGGGAATTACACGGTCGTTGTGAGTCATGCTTGGTGGGAATTGTTTTCATTTTGACCAAATAGGACGTCTAAAGAATTTACTAAGGTTAAGCGTAAGATGAATATTTTATCATGTGAGAGTGGACACGAAAACGAAAGAGAGAAGCAGAGACAAAGAGACAGAGATAGAGAGACAGTCACAGAGGGACATACACACACACACACACACACACACACACACACACACACACACACACACACACACACACACACACACACACACACACACACACACACACACACACACACACACACACACACACACACACACACACACACACACACACACACACACACACACACACACGAGGTTGGGGGCCTCGTAGCCTGGTGGATAGCGCGCAGGACTCGTAATTCTGTGGCGCGGGTTCGATTCCCGCACGAGGCAGAAACAAATGGGCAAAGTTTCTTTCACCCTGAATGCCCCTGTTACCTAGCAGTAAATAGGTACCTGGGAGTTAGTCAGCTGTCACGGGCTGCTTCCTGGGGTGTGTGTGTGTGTGTGTGTGGTGTGGAAAAAAAATAGTAGTAGTTAGTAAACAGTTGATTGACAGTTGAGAGGCGGGCCGAAAGAGCAAAGCTCAACCCCCGCAAACACAACTAGGTGAAAACTAGGTGAAACACACACACACACACGTGGTGGAGGCTGACTCCATACACAGTTTCAAATGTAGATATGATAGAGCCCAGTAGGCTCAGGAACCTGTACACCAGTTGATTGACAGTTGAGAGGCGGGACCAAAGAGCCAGAGCTCAACCCCCGCAAGCACAATTAGGTGAGTACAATTAGGTGAGTACACACACACACACACACACACACACATAAACTATTCAACACTGGTCGTACGCGAACAAGGCGACACAGGTGGAAACTGAGTACCCAAATCAGCCACAAGGACGTTAGAAAGAACTTTATCAGTGTCAGAGTAGTTAACAGGTGGAATGCATTAGGCAGTGATGTGGTGGAGGCTGACTCCATACACATTTTTAAATGTAGATATGATAGAGCCCAGTAGGCTCAGGAATCTGTACACCAGTTGATTGACAGTTGAGAGGCGGGACCAAAGAGCCAGAGCTCAACCGCCGCAAACACAACTAGGTGAGTACACACACACACACACACACACACACACACACACACACACACACACACGGACAACAGGCCTAGGCGGAAACAGTAGGGCAGAGTTTCTTTCACTCTGGTGCCCCCGTTACCTTAGCGCTAAATAGGTACCTGGGAGTTAGACAGCTGCTACGGGCTGCTTCCTGTGTGTGTGTGTGTGTGTGTGTGTGTGTGTGTGTGTGTGTGTGTGTGTGTGTGTGTGTGTGTGTGTGTGTGTGTGTGTGTGTAGTAGACATAATAGAGGAAAAATATATTGGTTAGAAAAGCGGGGTTCAAAACACTAATAGCTCGATTCTGCAGGCACAAATAGTAAATACAAATCTAAACTACACACCAGTGGGTGAAGCAGAAGGCGGGTTAACTCACCAGGTACACGGTGGAGGAGAGCATGTGGGGATGGCGGGTGAGGACGCTGGTGAAGGTAGATTCCGCCTCCTCCAGGCGACCAGTGTTGAGATACAGCTTCCCAAGACTCTCCCCGATCTCCGCCTCCCAGGCCACCGCCAGCGCCCTGTACAAGGCCCCACCATCATCATCATCCAGGGGTGAGAGAAAGGTAGAGACGTAGAGACTGGTAGTGTGGGTAGTGGTAGTAGTGGTGGTATTGTGGAGATCAGCAGTCGCTGCTATTCTAGTTATTCTTTGGCGATTATGGCTGTGAGATGAAGGTAATCAGTGCGGACTTTGAACGTGTTGCCTGATTGACTGCGGGTTGGAGGTAAGTCTGTTTCTCTGTGAACGATTGAGAGAGATTGAGGGAGAAGTGGCGGAGACAGACATGTCTTTCCAGGACGGGGGACAGACATGAGAGGCAGGGTCATCTCCCTAACATTTAAATGGAACAGTGAATAAGAGAGAACTTCACCCTGTCCCAATATTTTGTATCTCCCTTCCTCCCTTCCTTAGAGTCTGTATCTCCGTACCTCCCTTCCCTAGAGTCTGTATCTCCCTACCTCCCTTCCCTACAGTCTGTATCTCCCTAAATCTCTTCCCTACAGTCTGTATCTCCCTTCCTCCCTTCCCTACAGTCTGTATCTCCGTACCTCCCTTCCCTACAGTCTGTATCTCCCTACCTCCCTTCCCTACAGTCTGTATCTCCCTAACTCTCTTCCCTACAGTCTGTATCTCCCTAACTCTCTTCCCTACAGTCTGTATCTCCCTAACTCTCTTCCCCTACAGTCTGTATCTCTCTACCTGCCTTCCCTACAGTCTGTATCTCCCTTCCTCCCTTCCTTACAGTCTGTATCTCCCTCCCTCCCTTCCCTACAGTCTGTATCTCCCTACCTCCCTTCCCTACAGTCTGTATCTCCCTACCTCCCTTCCCTACAGTCTGTATCTCTCTACCTCCCTTCCCTACAGTCTGTATCTCCCTACCTCCCTTCCCTACAGTCTGTATCTCCCTACCTCCCTTCCCTACAGTCTGTATCTCCCTACCTCCCTTCCCTACAGTCTGTATCTCCCTACCTCCCTTCCCTACAGTCTGTATCTCCCTACCTCCCTTCCCTACAGTCTGTATCTCCCTACCACCCACCCCTACAGTCTGTATGTCCCTCCCTTACCTATAGCCTACATTTCCTTCTCTTCCTTCTGATGGCACGTATCATAATGTTCACTGTTCAAGAATGACTTCCATGTAAGTTTGTGTTCAGTATTACGTAAGGAACTGAGGTCCTTAATGTGGAGACGTGTTTTCAGGCTAAGCAAGTTTCCCTGGCGTAGCCCCCGGCATACATTGAATAGAGAAAAGATTTGTTAATTGGTTGAAGGTAATTATTATTAGTTAATTAATTATTAATTATTAAATATTAATAATTATTAATAATTAATTAATTATAAGAAGGTAAAAAAAAATACTAGTCAAAATATTAACCCAATCTGCACGTATGAAGCGACTATGTTTTGAAGTGTCTTGGAGACGAATAAACGAATAAGTGTTCATATCATATGTGTGGGGTGGGATTTTTTTGTCTTAATTTCTCGTTTTATGTATATATACATTATTATATATATATATATATATATATATATATATATATATATATATATATATATATTATATATATATATATATATATTATATGTATATATATATATATATATATATATATATATATATATATATGTATATATATATATATATATATGTATATATATATATATATATATATATATATATATATATATATATATATATATATATATATATATGCGAACAAGCCTGAATGGTCCCCAGGACTATATGCGACTGAAAACTCACACCCCAGAAGTGACTCGAACCCATACTCCCAGGAGCAACGCAACTGGTAACTACAGGGCGCCTTAATCCGCTTGACCATCACGGCCGGACGTCGCATATAGTCCTGGGGACCATTCAGGCTTGTTCGCATTTGTGTTCCTCACGTGTGCCCCAAAGAATGAGGTGATTTGGTGAAATGCTATGCCCAAGATTACCATCCGAGTTGCCGGCGGGGAAGTGGTTCAAATAGCTTCAGCTACCACTTCCTTTTGTCTGGCCGTGATGGTCAAGCAGATTAAGGCGCCCTGTAGTTACCATTTGCGTTGCTCCTGGGAGTATGGGTTCGAGTCACTTCTGGGATGTGAGTTTTCAGTCGCATATAGTCCTGGGGACCATTCAGGCTTGTTCGCATTTGTGTTCCTCAAGTGTGTCCCAAAGAATGAGGTGATTTGGTGAAATGCTATACCCAAGATTACCATCCGAGTTGCCGGCGGGGAAGTGGTTCAAATAGCTTCGGCTACCACTTCCTTTTGTCCGGCCGTGATGGTCAAGCGGATTAAGGCGCCCTGTAGTTACCATTTGCGTTGCTCCTGGGAGTATGGGTTCGAGTCACTTCTGGGATGTGAGTTTTCAGTCGCATATAGTCCTGGGGACCATTCAGGCTTGTTCGTATTTATGTTCCTCACGTGTGCCCCAAAGAATGAGGTGATTTGGTGAAATGCTATGCCCAAGATTACCATCCGAGTTGCCGGCGGGGAAGTGGTTCAAATAGCTTCGGCTACCACTTCCTTTTGTCCGGCCGTGATGGTCAAGCGGATTAAGGCGCCCTGTAGTTACCAGTTGCGTTGCTCCTGGGAGTATGGGTTCGAGTCACTTCTGGGGTGTGAGTTTTCAGTCGCATATAGTCCTGGGGACCATTCAGGCTTGTTAGCATTTGTGTTCCTCACGTGTGCCCCAAAGAATGAGGTGATTTGGTGAAATGCTATGCCCAAGATTACCATCCGAGTTGCCGGCGGGGAAGTGGTTCAAATAGCTTCGGCTACCACTTCCTTTTGTCCGGCCGTGATGGTCAAGCGGATTAAGGCGCCCTGTAGTTACCAGTTGCGTTGCTCCTGGGAGTATGGGTTCGAGTCACTTCTGGGGTGTGAGTTTTCAGTCGCATATAGTCCTGGGGACCATTCAGGCTTGTTCGTATTTATGTTCCTCACGTGTGCCCCAAAGAATGAGGTGATTTGGTGAAATGCTATGCCCAAGATTACCATCCGAGTTGCCGGCGGGGAAGTGGTTCAAATAGCTTCGGCTACCACTTCCTTTTGTCCGGCTATGATGGTCAAGCGGATTAAGGCGCCCTGTAGTTACCAGTTGCGTTGCTCCTGGGAGTATGGGTTCGAGTCACTTCTGGGGTGCGAGTTTTCAGTCACATATAGTCCTGGGGACCATTCAGGCTTGTTTGCATTTGTGTTCCTCACGTGTGCCCCAAAGAATGAGGTGATTTGGTGAAATGCTATGCCCAAGATTACCATCCGAGTTGCCGGCGGGGAAGTGGTTCAAATAGCTTCGGCTACCACTTCCTTTTGTCCGGCTATGATGGTCAAGCGGATTAAGGCGCCCTGTACTTACCAGTTGCGTTGCTCCTGGGAGTATGGGTTCGAGTCACTTCTGGGGTGTGAGTTTTCAGTCGCATATAGTCCTGGGGACCATTCAGGCTTGTTCGCATTTGTGTTCCTCACGTGTGCCCCAAAGAATGAGGTGATTTGGTGAAATGCTATGCCCAAGATTACCATCCGAGTTGCCGGCGGGGAAGTGGTTCAAATAGCTTCGGCTACCACTTCCTTTTGTCCGGCCGTGATGGTCAAGCGGATTAAGGCGCCCTGTAGTTACCAGTTGCGTTGCTCCTGGGAGTATGGGTTCGAGTCACTTCTGGGGTGTGAGTTTTCAGTCGCATATAGTCCTGGGGACCATTCAGGCTTGTTCGCATTTGTGTTCCTCACGTGTGCCCCAAAGAATGAGGTGATTTGGTGAAATGCTATGCCCAAGATTACCATCCGAGTTGCCGGCGGGGAAGTGGTTCAAATAGCTTCGGCTACCACATCCTTTTGTCCGACCGTGAGTGTCAAGCGGATTAAGGCGCCCTGTAGTTACCAGTTGCGTTGCTCCTGGGAGTATGGGTTCGAGTCACTTCTGGGGTGTGAGTTTTCAGTCGCATATTGTCCTGGGGACCATTCAGGCTTGTTCGCATTTGTGTTCCTCACGTGTGCCCCAAAGAATGAGGTGATTTGGTGAAATGCTATGCCCAAGATTACCATCCGTGTTGCCGGCGGGGAAGTGGTTCTAATAGCTTCGGCTACCACTTCCTTTTGTCCGGCCGTGATGGTCAAGCGGATTAAGGCGCCCTGTAGTTACCAGTTGCGTTGCTCCTGGGAGTATGGGTTCGAGTCACTTCTGGGGTGTGAGTTTTCAGTCGCATATAGTCCTGGGGACCATTCAGGCTTGTTCGCATTTGTGTTCCTCACGTGTGCCCCAAAGAATGAGGTGATTTGGTGAAATGCTATGCCCAAGATTACCATCCGTGTTGCCGGCGGGGAAGTGGTTCTAATAGCTTCGGCTACCACTTCCTTTTGTCCGGCCGTGATGGTCAAGCGGATTAAGGCGCCCTGTAGTTACCAGTTGCGTTGCTCCTGGGAGTATGAGTTCGAGTCACTTCTGGGGTGTGAGTTTTCAGTCGCATATATGTCCTAGCTGGGAACCATTCAGGCTTGTTCGCATTTGTGTTCCTCATGTGTGCCCCAAAGAATGAGGTGATTTGGTGAAATGCTATGCCCAAGATTACCATCTGAGTTGCCGGCGGGGAAGTGTTTCAAATAGCTTCGGCTACCACTTCCTTTTGTCTGGCCGTGATGGTCAAGCGGATTAAGGTGCCCTGTAGTTACCAGTTGCATTGCTCCTGGGAGTATGGGTTCGAGTCACTTCTGGGGTGTGAGTTTTCAGTCGCATATAGTCCTGGGGACCATTCAGGCTTGTTCGCATTTCTGTTCCTCACGTGTGCCCCAAAGAATGAGGTGATTTGGTGAAATGCTATGCCCAAGATTACCATCCGAGTTGCCGGCGTTGAAGTGGTTCAAATAGCTTCGGCTACCACTTCCTTTTGTCCGGCCGTGATGGTCAAGCGGATTAAGGCGCCCTGTAGTTACCAGTTGCGTTGCTCCTGGGAGTATGGGTTCGAGTCACTTCTGGGGTGTGAGTTTTCAGTCGCATATAGTCCTGTGGACCATTCAGGCTTGTTCGCATTTGTGTTCCTCAAGTGTGCCCCAAAGAATGAGGTGATTTGGTGAAATGCTATGCCCAAGATTACCATCCGAGTTGCCGGCGGGGAAGTGGTTCAAATAGCTTCGGCTACCACTTCCTTTTGTCCGGCCGTG